GAGAGTAGAGAGTAGAGAGTAGAGAGCATATAGTAGATAGTAGATAGTATATAGTATATAGTATAGTATATTAGTATATAGTATAGTATATAGTATAGTATATAGTATAGTATATAGTATAGTATGGTTGGCTAGACAAGTTTAGGGGTTTGGGGGTTTTGGGTTTAGGGGTTTACAGTTTAGAGTTTAAGCCGTTGGGAAAAAGAACTCGACGGGGCTTCTGAAAAATAGCGGGGCCACATTCTCATCCCTGCTTTAAAACCGCGGAGACAGCCCTGCCCAAGGCCTTTGTGCCTGTCGTCGTCTGGATCCTGGGTGAAATCCCGAGCGAAGGCTGTTAATGGGCCCCCACATCCTAAGCAGCTGAGCCCGAAACTCCGCTCATGAGGGTTTAGGGTTTAGGGTTTAGGGCCACAGAATGGCTTGTCTAATTTTCGGGTTTTCGGGTTTCCCGTGGAGGGATTTTAGGTTTGAAGGCGACCCTTGAAGCTTACAGTTGCGGGCTTGAGCTTAAGACTGCAAGGGACAAGGATCCCTAAACCCTAAACCCTAAACCTTTGTATGTTCATTATGCTCTACAACTCAATCTACCGACCGCGAACCGACCCTTCTCTAAGCTGTCTTCGGCAGAGCCTGAACCAGATAATCCGCGTTTAGGGTTGATCTGTAGCAATACAGGGTTGAGGGTTTAGGGTCTCATATAGCAGTATGTAGTAAGAGAGAATACCAGGGCTTGGGGGGTGAGTGTCGGTGGGTCCATGAATCAACAGAAATAGCCCGGAGCCCTTCTGATCTCAAAAAAAGCGGAAAGTCCGCAACCAACGTAACATCGGGGCCTTATGATTAGGGCTTAGGGCCTTGTAATTAGAATAATGTTTCGTGGTGTATAGTGTACCCTCATAATTAATCGGAAGGAGCCCTAAACCCTAAACCCTAAACGAACCCTAAACCCTAAACCCTAAAAACCCTAAACGAGCCCTTACGAATACTCTTCGCCAGTATTCCGACCCCTGAATGGACCCTGAAATCCAGAGACTCCAATATCCCTTAATTAAATTATAGTAGGATCCCCATTATGATTTAAGGTATATTCCTTACTGTAATTAAGGGATATTGGAGTCTCTGGAGAGGAAACCTCGGGTGCAGACAGCAAGACCCCCAAGCCCTGATTTCAATCACAGCACCCCAAAGTCTCGAATTGAAAATCGGGCGTTGGGGCTTAGGGTTTAGGGTCTGAGGTTTAGGGTTTAGGGTTTAGGGAATCTCTGCGTAAACAAAAAACCCCAAAACCAATAAGCCGCTAAACCCTAACCCCTATACCACTGGAGCCTCAACCCACTGAAACAGCCAGCATTCAAAGCCAGGGAGCAACTTCGGGCGTAGCCGGATAGAGTACCACTTCGGCTGCATGAGCTGGGCGGCAGAGGTCATTTCGGCCAACAGCTTAGGGATTTTGTAGGGTCAGGGTTTAGGGCTTACGGTCTCTAGGGTCTAGGGTCCAGGGTTTAGTGTTTAGGGCTTGAGGGTTTAAGGGTTTAACGGTTTAGGGGTTGGGAGTTTAGCGTGTACAGTGCAGGGTTTCGGTTCATAAAGCCGATTTTGAGACAGAAGCCAGGCCGAATGAAACACAGCATAGGGAAGCAAGGATGTCAAATAACTATGATAACTGCAATAAGACTGTCAATGAGCGCTGGACAGGTAGGGAATATCGGCATAGAGGCAAACAGGAAATAGGTACACGTGTGTGTATGTGTATGTGTGTATATGTATGCGTGTATGTATGTATGTATATATATATACGCATACATACCATACATACATATTTATAATACATAATATATATATATATAAATTATGTATATATATATATGTATTTTATATTGTATATGTGTTTGTTTTTGCTATATATATATATATACACACATGTACATATACAGCTACAGATACACAAGCATATACATGTCCATCTCATGTGCATAAAAACATACAAAGAAATACGCACATATACATACATACATACATACATACATACATACATACATCATACATACATACATATGTACGTACATACATACATACATACATACATACATACATACATATGTACATCCATCCATCCATCCATGCATCCAGCCATCCATCCATACATACATGCAAATATATATATATATATATGTATATATATATATACATATAGATATATACACATATACACATATACACATACATACATGTATGTATATATATATAGATAGATAGATAGATAGATAGATAGATACATAGATACATAGATACATCGATAGATAGATAGATAGATAGATAGATAGATAGAGGGAAGCGCAAGGAAGGCGGTGTCATTCGAATCGGCTCGAGGAGCTGGGAGCCATTTTGGCCAAGGCGTCGCCTTCCTGGCAGGAGCTCCTGGCGGGCTCAGCCCGGAGCCCAAAGCAGAGGGGGCCTTGGGCTCTGTGAGCTGTAGCTTCTCAGAGCCGAGGAAGCTCTGGGTGGGCCAGATGGGCTCCTGGTCGAGGAACTGAAGGCGGGTCGGAGCGTGTTGTCTGTCGCCTGCCAGCCTTCGCTGCATTGGATTTCGACATCTTTGATGCTAGTCGAGCCGTGGCTTGTAGAGACCAGCGGCCCGACCAGCGGCCCAGCAAACTGAAACGGCTCCACCAAGCAGGGCTGGAGGTTGAGATGTTGGAAGTCTGAGATGTTGCTTTCGATGTCAGTGCTAAGATTCCGAAACGGGAGGCTCCAAGCAGAAGGGCAGTTTCACGCTGAGGGTTTTTTTTTTCGAGGGATTTTTTCAGCATGCGCATCTTCTGGAACCAGCAGATGTGGCAAAGGCTCCAGTTGACCGATCATGCTCGGGAACCTTTATTTGCCAATCGACGACCCGAGCTGCCGATTTCGAAAATAGTATATGCATATAACAACCGCATATTCAGATCGTGTTGCACAGAGCTTGTGCAGCAGTTTCGCAAAAGCGCTTCAGACCTTCTTCCTCATTCTGGCCAGGCGTTGGGTGTCCCTGCGACGACTGCAGGCTGGACAGCACATCCCAGCAAGCACATGACGGCACCACCGCGTCGCAAGGTGAGGCGAATCTATCAGCACCTGTGTGGGGCTTGCGAAGTTGCCGCATCCGACCCGTCCTGTCCGGTTATGTCACCCGTCATGCCTCATTTGCATCGCGCCAGGTTGGAGCATGAAGCCAGAGTCTTCCTTCGCGAGAAGAAGTCACAAAGGCCATCATGTAGCTGCATGGGTTTTGCTTTGATCTTCCAGGCTACGGTCGGTTGCCGATGGTACAGTACGCAAAACGGTAGTTCTAGCGAGCACATGTGCAAGTCCAGAGTTGAGTTCCGAAGCAAATATGCTGCAGCTGGCCATTAGACGAAGCCTTTAGACTAAGTGTTCAGTATCGTCTGGTTGACTTGCCATATTCAATTCGTTCATTTTCAGCCCAAGGGTGATTTATAGGAGCAGTTTTGTCACATTCTCTACAAGAGGGATCGAGGGATTCATGCAGCGAGACCGAGACCGAAGCCTCTTTGAAAGCTTTGTGGCCGTGCGACTGAGAACAGCTTCGTGTGCATCCTTTGGTTTGCACAAATGATCTGCAGGTACCTGTCCATAATCAGCTCATCGACTGATGCTTGCATCATGATGACCGTGCCTTGGCATTGACTGGCAAACCACCGAGGAGCAGGGGTTTCGCGAGGCAAGAAGCCCCGTCTGGGGACCCACGTTCGACTTTGCACGAAGCATCCTCGCAGAAATTTGGGAGAAGTACAGGGGTGGGACCTTAAAGAATGATTTGATGCAGCCATTGGCGGGGCGGTGCTCCCTACCATGAGGAGCTGCCCGTCTCGCTTTTCGTGTGCTACTTTCTCGGCAAAGGTGCGAGGGGCCTGGGTGCCTCGTAGGGCCTAGTCATCGTAGTCGGCCCGAACTTCTGGGAGGCCTCTCGAAGGCCTGCGGCTCCTTCAGCACGGAGGTGGGAAACACCGCACTCAGCTTGATTTTGCGTCTCCCAGACTGTCACAGGTCTCGGAGGAGACGGATGTTTCGTCATTTTCTTCGCAGTTGTCCAAGTCAAGGCTCTTGACCCGTGGCTGCCATTGCACAGCTAGTCAACGCCCTCGCGGAAGGCTGGCTGAGCTCGAAGGCGAGACTCTGGAATTTGGCTTGGCGCACGAGGCACCTGCCTCTTGCTGTAGGGTGCGTTCATTCTGCGCACTCATGGCATTTTCTACACATTGTTCCCTGCACCTCGATGCATTAATATGCCGGCACTCCATAAGCCCAGAGCAGCGGAGCAGCGAAAGCTCAAACATCGTTTCGGCTGTCCAGGGAGTCCCGTCCTGTGGCCGCTTTCTGGGCTCCCGAAGGAGCCAAGATGCAGGGAGATTTTGCAGTTTTATGCCTCCTCTCCGCAGCCTCTTCCGGTGTGCGACGGAGAGGCGCTGGACAGAAGTGGAGCTTTGCTGCTCCAGTCGCAGCTTTGGCAAACGTGAGCGCTGGAGCTGCGCGGCCGAACTTTTAGGAGGGCTCTGCGAGTGTGATGATGTGTGCATTACACCCAATAACTTTGTATCCTGGCACTCACTCTGCTGCACGAGGTCGTGGATCAGGTGCTTCCTTGCAGCACCAATCCAGTGGTTTGTGGCTCTGCGTGGACCCGTGCAGTCCGAACAAAGCGGGATACCGAGTGGGCTTTTTTTGCTGCTCTGAGTTTGGGTGCAAGCACTAGAGGTCAGCTTGAGCTCGCAAGAGCACAGTGCTTGGGAGGCTGGGGCAGGGTCTGGTTAGTAGGTACATGTGTGTGGTTCATTCCATTCCAAGCTTATCGAAGCCGTCAAAGATCCGTTTGCACGTGTAATTTAATCGAAGTCGAGGATTCCCGTTCCAACAGGTGTGACCACTCTTTTGCCCGTGGTCTTTCCAAATCCCCTGATGCTGTTAGGCTCCAACCAACATGCCAAAATAGTGCGGTTAGAGCAGGGAACAACATGCATTGGTGGCATTTCAGCGGAAAGAAGCACATGAAGCACACCCATGTTCCACGGCACCTAAATCCAAGGCTCACGAAATTAGAAAGAACCTGCCGAGAGAAAGGGTGAGCCACTTTCAGCCCCTAGTGCCACTTGAAGCCCTGTGTCCCCAGCCGGCATCGCCGCTCTCTTTCATTTAGTAAGGAACCCGCGTGCGGCCGAGAAGCCTTGAGTAAAGAAAGATGTCCAATGTGTAGCCTAGCGGAGAGTGTGCTTGCAGCTTGACGGCCATCGACTTTGAGCGCCCGAGAATGTCATCCGTGGTCCGTGGTTCCTTGCCAGGTCTTGCTTGCCACTTGATGCTTGGAGGCCTCCGTTTCGGATCAATCGGAGGGACGATGGATGCCGGCCTTGCTGGCAAGCCAGGTACAGAAGCAAAAGCGAGACAGCGTTTGAAAAGGGCCGAAGGCCGCAAGACGTGCGGGTGCAGCTGACAGCTGTATGTACAGATATGTCTCTGTGTGTGCAGAGTCAGGGTGACACGATGTCTTTTGATGTATTTGGCTTCGACGACTGTGTACTTTAGTTGTCGAAGTTCTTCATCATAGCCTTGGGTGCCGAATGAACCGGGGGACATCGTTTCGCATGCCCTCGACCCGGCCCAAGTCTTGTAGCCTTGGGTCAGTCCTTGCAGACAGCTGCTATTCTTGACTTGTTTTCCCGCACTTGGTTTCGCTGCGAAACAAAAGAGGAGCCTCTGCCTCCGAGAATTCGTTTAGCTGCAGTTTGACATACGGCTGCATGCAGAAATATTGGACGGGTTGTCACATTGTGTACATATATATGTTTCTATAAATATGTACATATATATATATACGTATCTGTCTATCTATACATATATTTATATTTACATGATGTACACACACACACACGCACAGAGATTCAAAGGTGTGTTCACCCCTTTGTCAGCAAGTATGGTACGGTCTGGTGAACTTGCAGTGTGTTGTGGGCTCGGCCAGTGATATGGCCAAGTTTCGTTCCTTTTCCAGATCAGTGTAGGCGCCGTCACCCTGCGGGGCGGCATTGTAATTTGCATGCTGCACTGCTGCATGCCGGGTATGCACGTGATGACGTGCATACCATTCATGCCTACTGGGTATTGTGCTGCCGAAGTAACTGTGTTGAGATTCGAAAAGCATCCAGCTTGGTTGTGGTTGCTGCATATCACAGTACCCAGGATGTGCATCGACACTGGGATGTAGAGTAGACCACTGCTTCCCGAAAGCAGTGTACCCGCGAGCCAGGCGAAGCAGTCCAATGCATGTCCTAATCGACAGCATGCAAAACTTGGGCTCCTATTGCTGGCTGCTCATGCTGCGTCATGCTGCTCCTTGTCTCCACGTGTCATCTTGTCGGTTTGGGTTTCTGAGACTGCAGCCATGGCTCTCAGCTTGGACGGCAGTCTTCCAGCCTTCTTGCCGCGGCGCAGAGAGACAGCTTCAAGAGCCGATCAAAACGCATCTTCCGAGCCAAGGTCGAGCCGTTGGCCTGGCCCTTGGACTTGGCCATCTTGGCCCTGGCCGGAGCGTCGAGACAGGCGCCATCCCCAGGCTTTGCCTGGGCTCAGCCTCTCGTAGATTCACGTGGCCCCTTGGGTTTCAGGACATGTGTCACCGGCAGTACTGGACGACATGTGTGGAGCTTGTCAGCATCATGGCTGCTATTACTTCCGCTGTGCCGCCGTGATGACGTGTTCGTGTTGGCTGGGGCACCTGACATAGGTCTTTGTCATCCTGCAGCGGACCCCGCGAGTTCATGCCGGCAGACGTACCATCTTCGCGAGGCGGAGTGTTTCACCCTGTGCGGGCTTGACTTAAAGTTGAACGTCTGCCAGGGCTTCCCGGCGTCAGACTGGCAAAGCACTTCAGCTGAGTCGTGATATTGGACGGCTGACTCAGCCAGACGAAATTCTGGCAGCTTGACAGCGAATCGATAGTTCACCCCTTGGATGAGTCTCGGGGGTAACGGTGGACCCTTTCCAAGCTCCAGCCACATGCATCGCAGTGTGCAGGCATTCGTGAAAGACCACGTGCATGAGTTCAGCTTCGTCCATGCGGTGTCTTGCTTCAGCCGATTGGGACGGATGAGTGGCCCGGTTTGAGATGACGTTGAGAAGAGCTCGAAGATGCCCAAGTAGCTTTTGATTACAGACTTGCAGCGCGGAAGCACCCGCAGTAGTGTTTTCCAGGACACAAGACTCGTCAAAGCTGGTCTGCCTCAGAGCCTTTCCAGAACCTTGTAGCGGCAATTGCAACCTGGATTGACTAATTAAATGGCACATGATGCGTTTCTGTTCGTTGAATCGATGTTGTAGTTGGTTGTTCTGCGAGCATCTTAGGACGACTTCGGTGAAAGGGGTGAGATGGATGCAGAAGCCTTGCGCGCCACCCTCGTAGCGGCGGTCTACCTGGCGACTTTGACTTGCGGCTTCTAGTTGACCCTGCCTTGCGGCCCAGCAGGAACGGCATGCTCTTTCCTTTGCTCCTTGTGCCGTGAGGCGAATGGAGACATAGTGCGACGGATGGTGTCGAAATGCGCTACAGCATTACTGGCGAAGCTTCCGGCACGGTTCTGAGACAAAAGCCGCTCGCTGTGGGCAGCGTAAGCATGCAAGCTGCTTGCCGGAGCACGCAGTCAAACGTATGCATAGTCAAGAGTCAATAGTCAAACAGTTTTCCACTTCTTACTTTTCGCGCTTTTCCCGACTTTCACGCGGCGGTTGGACGCATCTCCGAAGGCGCAGTGAGTGAGTTTTCGCGACTTTTCCGGTTTCGCATTTTGTCGCTTATGCGCTGTGTCGATTTTCCGGACATTTTCGGGAGCGAGTTTGCTGCACTGACACGTGAGGCGTCAGGGGGTTAAGGGAGCAAGAGCCGTGGCATAACCACCCGGCATTCCCATAAACAACCCTGAACCTTCAATAAGCTGCACACATGTGAGGTATGGAGGAAACAGGTAGTTATCACAACTGAAGCCCGAACATTTCAGAATAGAAACCCACTGAGGGCGCTGGCGACCGATTTATGAGTTTGGAGCTTCAAGGGCAGTTTAGGGTTTAGGGGCGGGTTTGGGGTGGGCGCCAAAGCTAAAGCCCGCCTACGCCCAAAAGCAGCTGGAACGAGGGTCAGGAATTTATCGTTATCGTAGATTGCTTGATTCTTATATGTTTCGTGGCTTCTCAGCAGTTCTTGATCTGTCGGGATTTCCAATCTATTCGATCGACAGCCTTAATATCTACTTCGGCTTTTCGGTTTTACTACCATTTTTGAGTGCCGTTTGGGCATGTGGTCCTGTAGGTTTGGGGTTTGCGTGCACTCTTAGCAGTCAGATCCCAGCCCTGCGAATCGACTTGACATGTCATCCAAGCGAAGTGTGTGCCTGTAGCACTCAGACGGGTTTGCAGCATCGCAGCTATACAGGCTATACAGTGGCCACAGCATGCAATAGCTCTTGCATACTCCAAGCCGGCCGTCAGCATAACTCGGGCAGCCTTGAATTCTCGGGGAATCAGTGGAGATTGCTGCTGTCACAAAGAGAGCTCGTGACCGCTCCCGATGCACCAGCGGCAAAGTGGGACACATGGCTGAGGCAGCAAGCTTGCCAGAGCTGGCAAACAGCGCCTGGGCTCTCGGGAAGCTGGAGCACTGCAACGAGAAGCTGCTGCGGGGCACCTTGTAACAAGAGTTTCTCGAGAAGCCTAAGTACCTAGAATGACATCGAGGTGGCTCAGCTCCGATTTTTTGCAGGTATCTCATCGGAGGTGCTTAGAAAAGTGGCAATTGGACAGGCAGGCTTTGTTTTGCTTCTTGCTCTGTCGGGATCTGAATCACACAGCTTGTCCTGTGCAGGCGATGAGTGTGCGGGACGTGCAGAGACTCAGACCATATCATGTTTACCTCGACTCTTGCAGGCTTGCATCTTCAACGATGCGAAATGACACCTGCTCCTATCACAAGCAAGGAAACTGGTCTGGGCACTGGCAGCCTTTGGTTGGCACGAGGATCCATCGCTCTTCCGCTGCTTGAGTGCTAATGTGCAGATGCATTGCAACGATACTTGACCTCGCAAGATGTGACTTGACCCGAGTCTGCCTCACAAGTGTTGATCAGTGGAGTGTTCTGGGAAGTGCCTAGGAAATGTCAGCGGTGGATGCGAGCGTCATAGCCTTCTCCTTTGCACGACTTGGTCCATGGCCTGGTTGTCCCTGGCAGTGTTTTGGGCAAGCGTCCATTCAAGATATTTCAAGATGCAAAGGGCGCACGCATTCGCTCCTGTCATTCTGCGCTACTCAGGCGTGGAAGATTCAGCGCTTTTTCGAGTGCTCTCCCAACACGTACAAGATCGCCTGCTCGTTGACCTCAATGCGCAGGGCATAGCCAAGGTGGCCTACTCGTTTGCAGGCCTGGCTGTGTCGGGGTCTTCGTTCCTTCGCCCCTCCGAACCCTCCGAACTCCGCTTTTCTGCCCGCTGCTCAGTTCTGGGCCACGCCGCCGAGGAGCCTCGGCTCTTCCGGGCCTTGGCCGCTGAGTCCGCCAGGCCGGGCCCCCGCTGCGCCCCCCGCTGCCCGCAAGTTGGCACTGCATTGCTCGGAGCTGCTGAGGCGGATTGCAGCTTTTGGGGCGCAGGACCAAGGGCGGCCCCAAGTTTGGAGAGAGAGAGCTTTCGGAGATGCCTTCGCTGTGAGGAGCTGGCCAACCTAATGCAAGCTCTGGTTTGGTGCCGCGCTGCAGGCTGCGCCATCTTCGCGAGCCCCGAGGCAGGCTCTCGGTGAGACACAGCACCCTCGAGAAGAGCCGTCGCCAGGTTCAGCGATTCCTCGCCTTGGCTTCAAGAAGGCAGGTTGTAACAGCAGTGTTGGGGATTCGCCCTTGTCAGTCTGCCATCATCACAATGCCTCCTGCTGTGAATTGGGCAGGTGCATGGAGCTGTGCCGCAGCTGGATAATTCCACCCTGCTGTCAGCTAGGGCTAGGCCATAATCGCGAAACTCCTTCAGGCCACAGCGCATGCTAGGTGTTTTGCCAGTTCTTGGGTCTGGTCTAACGGTCAGAGACACCGCTTATCAGAGCTTCAGCAGAACAGCGGCCTTGGTTGTAGTCTGCTGCCTGTTTCGGGGCAAAGTCAGCTAGTGAGTGACCTACTGAAGACCCGCATGCACCAAGGTGCCCTTCCGCTATTCCGAAGGATTTGTGCTGCTTCGCATGGTCTTTTGCATCGTGCCCGGGCAGAGATCTTGCAGTGTTTAAGCATGTTGCACCTCTTTCAGTCCATCGGATGCACGCAGCGCCAGGTTAGGGAGCCACTGCGACATAGTTCTTCCAGCTGTGGCCGAAGCCTCCATCTATCGAGTTCCCGATTTCGATCCTCGATTTCTGCACCTCGGCACTCTTGCTTGCCAATAGGCAGTGCCAGCATCTTCTTGTCGTTTCCATGTTTCGCGCGCTGGTCGCCATGGCATGCGTGAGTGTCGGAGGAGTGGTCAGCTAGCCTGGGCTTTCGCAAGTACAGGTGCCACACTCAGTCGGCTCCTCGCCGTGGCACTTCGTGGTCCCCCACCGGTCTGCGCGTTTGCGGCGTTTGCCCAAGGTACCGTCAACCCGGCATTGTTCGATGCCATTGCCGTGGCCGCTTTGGACCGCAAGCGCATCTTGGCAAAAGGTTTGTCGGCCAGCTTGAAGAGTTGTTGTCCCGCTGCCACCACAAGGTTCATATGCACCACGAGACATATCGAACCTTGCCTGGCACATGCCTCAGACTCGGAAAGGAGCCTCAATGAGCTGGTTGAAAAACGCCAGCATGAGGTCCTTTGCGATGTTGGGACATCGAAGCCTCGTCCTGTTCGACTCCTTGTGCGGCAGGGCTATAATAGCCCTCGAGCGGTTCAACAGCCAGGACGGAACCTGCCAAGTCTTGAGGACGGTTGCTTGCCTGCCGCGATTAAGCATCAAAAGGACCTGGCCAACATGTTGTGGGCCTACTCTCATCTGGGCAACTGGCCATGAAAGTCTTCGCTGGCCTCGTGCCCCGTTTATTTTCGACAAGCAATCACAAAGCAGAGTTGTCCAACAACGGTCCAGCATGCAAGAGTAGTGAATTCTAATGCTTGAGTTGGCACTCCCTGATATTGACAGCCCTTAGACTCCCACCAGACCGGAACCAACCCGCTAAAAGCGGTCAATTGCTGCGAGCGAGTGTCGATAATTCTCATCACATTCCGGTTTGTGTAGTGAGCGGCAATCTTCCGCTTCCCATACTTTGCACATGATCTTTTTTGTAGAATCACGTCAGTACGACTTCTGTTGCAAGTGCACCGCGACCAAGTTCGCAGGCATTCGAGCACCGGCGCTCTTCGCAGCGAGCGAAGAGCGGGTGAAAGCAACTATTTCAAGGCCCAGTCTTCAGGACCAGGGGTCCTGTGATGTCTCCGTCCCTTCATGTCGGCCTTGTGTAACGCAGCGTCGAGGCTTGTTGTATCAGGTTGTCCATGAGTCGAAGGACTGAGCATGACTTCTCGAGGAGCTTTCCAGTATTGCCTGGGCATACGAAAACGCCGGCATGATGAGCTCCGCTCTTCTGCTGGCTATTGAGCGCGAGTTCGCAAAGAGGCTGCCGACGTACACGAGACCAAGCGGACAGTTCCTGGCAAACTTTGGCGGACCGTGAGCTGTATCAGGTTGCTTCTGGGACCTGGCAAAGCGCGGCCTGCGCAACGTGCCCGCGATGTGAAAGCACTCTTGAGACAGTTGAGGCCTTGCGATGGAGATGTTGTCTGAGTCAGTCCTAGCCTGTTTGAAGGCCCAGGTTCAGCGTCCCCTATGGTCCAGAGTGAGATGAATCAACAGGGATGGGTCAGAGGATCTTTTGCTCTCACTGAGATGTGCATAGATGGGCGATGCAATCAAGCTTCAAACAGCTGTGTCCGAGGTAACCCCAGCTGTTGCCATTTCATCTCTTGCAGGTCGACAGGTCTTCTGCGGCATGACATTACAAAGACAGCAAAAGCGGAGCTTCAGAAGATACTCGGTTGCATTCTTCGTGCAGCATTCTTTCTGAACGAGCCTGGAAGACGAAGCAGATCAGGCTTGGAAAAATGCAGGATGCGGTGATGCCTGTTGAGTGCTCGCGCGGACGTGCCTTGACGATGTTAGGCAGCAGCGTAGCTGGAAACAAACAGTCACAGTCGCGTAGAACGATCGCCTCGATCTCAGGAGGCCTCGCCGTCGGCGCTGAGCTTCCCCGTACCGCGCTGAGACCATGCGGCTTTATTGATTTGTATCTGCGCCTGTGGCTGTCGCCACTCCTGTCCGAGTTACGTTGCGTAAGACCCTAGTATTTACTAACTCCCCCTGATCCTTTAAATATGGTCTTGCTGGCTTGTACGAGCATCCAACAAATTCCAACAATATCACGAAAACTAGCTCTTTGGAGGTTGCGGGAGTTGTCGTTTACAAACAGCCTCTCTAGTGTTCCTAGCGTTTAGGTGTGTCAACAAGCGACCCTTGGCCATAAGTGGTATGAAAATCAATGAGTCGGGCGGCTAGGGGGTGACACCTACCCTCACCTGTAAGATTGATTTTAGCAATCTTTCGAGGTGCCCTCCCTACTCCGCCATGAAGGGTTGCGTTACTTGAATTATTTGCAGGAGGAAGGGGGGCTCCCTTCCCCCTTTTTTGGAGGTTTCATATAGTTGATCTTGTCGATGTGGGTATCTTCGTGGCAGAGTAAGTTTCGCGCAGCTGCGCTGAACGAGACCATACTTGCATTGCTCCGTCGAAAATAACCTGCTTCTCTGCTCCCTTGCTGTTCCGGCCTTGCTCTAGC